ACAGACAGCTGAAGATGAAGATCTGAATGCAGATGTTGATGATACAATAACCTATGGGGACCCTCAGTATCCTTTTTACTCCATCAATACCTAATTTGTATTTTAATGTCATTTTACAAAGGTATTTTTATTTGTAAAACTAGCAGGGAAAAGGTTAGCCTGGAAGAAAAAAAACTTCTTGAGTAGGTCCACCCTGGGCTGTCGAGCCATTGATGATGATTTTTATTTGGAAATTTCATTTTCTTTTCTTGTGGTGCCCAAGATACCTTTACTTTTATAATTTTATGTTGAGCAATTATTGTTGCTTGAATCTGGTGCATAGAATTTTTGAAAAGTGTTTAAAGGTGCTTATTTTCGATTTTTAAAGGACCTTAAAGGTGCTTTATTCATTGGGTGTTTTTAAAAAGTGCTTAGTTTTCCCTTTTCTAAAATAAATTTTTTTTCTTTACTATGTCTATTTTCGCCACATATTATGCAAAAGCGTGCTTTTCACATTGTTCTATTCAACGTTTTCACAATTCATTCAACCACAATCAATTTTGACCTACTGTAGGTCAATAGTAAGGTCAAAATGGTAAATAAAATAGTAGGTCAATAGTAAGGTCAAATTATTTTACATGCTTGATAAAATGCTTGCGAGTCTACTGAGCTGAGTTCAGTGAGATTTTTGGCACTCTCGTGCTACCCTGCTGCATTTTGCAAGATATTCTCGATTTCAGTCGTCATTTTCCACCCTCTGAAATCGAATCGAAAAATCTCTCGATCTTTTTATGGTGACTGATATAATCAAGAAAAGTAATTATTTTATCATGATCATGAAAAGTATTTTGTGTTTTGTTAATGTACATAGTGCTTAAAAAATTTTTTTGAGTACTTAAAATGACTTAAAAGGAACTTATTTTTGTTGAAAGATTTGGTCACATAGCCAGGCTATATATTAGTGAAATTGGCACTTATCTTTTGAGAGGTACATTTGAAAGGCAAAATAAAATTAAATACATACAATAAGTTATATAAAATAAAACTTTCTTCTGCCATGAGGCCTTTGAAATATGGAATTCTAGAAAATTCGATATTTCAAGGTCCTTGTGGCAGAAGAATATATTATTTTATAAAATTATTATTTTTTCTGGGCAGTTTTACATCTTTTTCTTTTTTATTTTCAAAGGGGTTAATCCTAAACTGCTAATTTCTGTTTTATTTAAATAATGAAGTAGTAGTAAGAAATATTTTTGCTTTAATTAAGTATTTAAATTTGAAACCCTTTCACTATAAATAAATATCTTAAACTGTGTTCCTTTTATTATTATTTTAATTTACTTTTTAAGCAAAATAATTTTTTAATATAAGTTTTTTGATTGCAAAAAAAAATGGTTTTTAATAATATATTTTTTTGCAAAATGTGAAAGAATTTTATAAAATTCATACTTCATTTTGTTTTTAGACCAACAGGTGTTTTTTATTTTGCAGTCAAATGACAGAATATTTGATTTCAAATCCTAGTTTGTTGCTGCATCATTTTGTACTATTAACTGAGCAAATTTAGCTGAAAAACAGTTTAGTTATTCTATTTGCAATTAAAGAAAAGTATATAATATTATAAGGAAGCTTTTATGATGTTTGCATGATAACAGATAAAATGTTTTTTAACCAGATAAAAGTGACAATCTGCATTTTATACTATACCTCTAGTTTGTCTATGGTAAGAACTCCTCTTGCCACAAAGTCTGAGGCTTTCTGCTGCTATGGAAACAAGACTAGCGCATTTCAGGGAGGGTAGCTTCTCGTCACTCTAGAGCTAACACAATAGACCGAAGAAAAAGTTCATTTCTCTTGCTGACTAGAGCCAAAACTTACCCTAAACAGTGACCCCACACCCCTACTTAAAATAGTTTTACCTCGCTATCAAAGTCACCGCCGCAGGTCCAGACGAATGGCATGGGACTTCAGACAAACTCTATTTGTTTGATAACCATTGGTTAAAAGTTACATTGTAAATTCGTTCTGTAACTCCACAGCATGTTATTGTATACTTCTCTAATTACAATGTTTCCTTAATTAAAATAATTTGATATTCTGAAATTGATGTGATTCCTAATACGTCATCTGAAAAAGATAGATCAGATTTGGAACAGCTTCGAAAGGCCGTGTAATTATTACTTTTATTTTTTCATTTGTATATATTGGCATGCTTTATTTTCAATGTTAGCTATACTATTATATTTCAAGAAATGTTTTGATAATTTCAGTGTACCTTATAAGGTTGGTATATTGCTGCACACTAGTACAAGATTCTGTCCTTTTTCTAATAATTTAATCAAGTAAAACTGAAATCTAAATTTATGAAAAATTCATATTGATTTAATATTTCTCCTCGGCTTGCTTCGGAACAAGTTATTACTCAATAATGAAGTGAGCTATCTATGGGCAAAACTTTATCCATAGAATTAATGGTGACTCATGATCTAAAACCAGATTGCTCCCCCTTGTGACTTGATTTAATTTTATATTTTAAAACCGTAGTTGATCAGTCGACCCAATTTCGGGTTTGCGTCTACTGATGTCCGACTCCGTAGTCTTATAATTTTAAACCCAATCTAGAAGACAAGGAAGCTCCTATATCAGTATCCCCAGAAGTGTGATTTGTTATGGGAACACAGAGGACTTTGTGACTCAACGGATTTAATGTGCCATTTACTACACGGGGAGTTTTCTACCAGCAGGAATTGGACCTCCGATCTTTTGGACATGGACCCAGTGCCCTACCAGTTACTACAGCTACTAATTCTGCATGCGTTATTATTATTATTTTTTTACACGTGTACATAGCTGCAAACTCAATTGCATTTTCCAATAGGCTACAGAATTTTGCCAGTTTCTCCTGGTTTAATAAAAATTCTAGTTTTTGTGCATTTTAGAAAATTTCCTAAAATTGAGTAAGTTTCCTTAAAAAAGTTCCAATTGAAATAGAATTTTTGCGCAGATTATTGCTTGCTTGAATATTTAAATAAAAGTCACTAATTTTAATTATTAATTGCTAATTTTAATTATTAATTATTGATTTTAATTTTAATTATTAATTGTCCAAAAGAGAATAACATCAAAAAATATGGGGTTTAACTATTCACAAGGAAACAATTATAGATTTTAGCTTTCTTGTATTGATATCAGAAATAAATTAAATAAACCCTTTTTGTATAATATTGCTCATGCTTAAGAAAAATGTGTTTTTACAAAAAAAATTAGATTTAGTCCTTACTAATTTTTAACTCTTTCAATTTTTGTATCTACAATATAAGCAGTTTGAGAATGACTTTGAAATTTGTCATGATAGCAAACATGTCCAGTTTTTACTCTTATTTTTTTATAGCATTAAGTTACAAAATTACTTTAGTTAGTTAAAATAATAGTGCTTATATTGTTTTCATTGTAAAGTTCGGTTGGAAAAAAAGTTGCATTTCGGGTAAGTAGCGTGTGTGCTTAAAAAAGAGTTAGTAAAACTATCATGCATTACCTGCAAAAATATTAAGTGTGTATTTTTTTTTTCTTCCAGAGATTCATCTGCACGTCCTCGAAATTTAGAGATAAGTCATAAATGGTCTAAGGCAGGTAAGTAATTAGTTTTATCTTCTTACATTAATTTTTTGTTTATGTGCTTAGATACAGATAAGTTTGATAACATTTATAGGTAAAAGGGGGCAACAGAGGGTACTGACCAGAGAAAATGTGTATTGATATTATTTGATAAATTGTGATTGATTAAATGTGTTCTATATTTTAATCACTGACCAGTAATATTTTATTTTCTCCATTTCCACCTCCGGGAAGTACGGTTCCCTGTTACATACCTGTCAAGTCTCCTGTTTTTTAACAAAAACTCCAGTATTTTACGATTATCTCCTGTTTACCTGTATATTCTCAAATTTCTCCGTATTTGCTGAAGAAATTTTAATAAAAAAAGTTTGGTAATAAAATATCCGCTGATGGCAAAAATACTTCACTTATTCGTCAACAAATAATGCTATTGCCAGTTCTGCAATAGCAATAGTGTTAATAGTTTAAGTAATTATAAATAATGGTTTAAAAAAAATCTTCTTTATATTAAGATTTATATATTTATTACTTCGCCGAATGTAAATGCTTATATTATTTCCAATTTTGAATTTCTCTTTTTGACTGACATGATGATGCAGGATGTATCAAAATTTTACTCGTAGCCTTAAAAAATGTCATTTGTAAAATCTCCGTTATTTTTTATCTTCTCCAATGTTGGCATGTATTCTGTTATTTTTATACTGGCCTAACACTTTTATTTTGAAAATTAAGTAGTTTAGCAGTTACTGCAGTATTTTGTCTCTCCAATTAGCAACATTATTTAGCCTCGAGATGGTTGGCATCGATAAATTACTGTTGCTTTCACAAAACATTGCTATTAGATTGAGATTATGGTGACCTATAGTTTGTCTATGATAAGAACATTCCTCACTCAAAGTCTGAGGCTGCTATGGAAATATGAATGACGCATTTCCTGGAGGGTAGTTTCTCTTCAATCTAACACAATAGAAAAAAATTCCCTTTCTTTCACCGAACCGACTAATACCCTGTCCTAAATAGTGACCCCACAGTACTTGAAATAGTTATACCTCGTTACCATAGTCACCGCTAAGAGAGTTCTTACTTTAGCTGGCTTTTTCTTCTAGTGAAGTGCATGCTTGTAACAGAGCAGATCAATTAAAATTGACTAGAGAATTCTGATTGTTTTAATCTTTTATTATTTTCAGTGTTAAGAATATTTAGAATAATATTATGAAATACTTTCACTAAAAGTATTTCATAATATTCTAAATAAAATTATTATTATGATATAAGATCATACTAATTTCATGGATTTTTCTTACAGACTCAGATACTGAAATCTCAGAGTTATCAAAGTAAGAAAACATATTTGTTTTTACCTCTATTATCAAGGTTCCCTTTTTGTTCTGTAAGGAAAAAGATTTTTATTTGTTCTAGAAGTCTAACTGATTCAGATCCAGTGGTTTCATCATTGAAAGAAAAGATCAAATCTCTTGAAGATTAAGATAAGAATGTTCGGTGTCTCATTTGTTTGGTAAACTTCCTTTTATGCATTTATACATTCTTTTTTAAAAAATAAGTATACTTTATTTGATATGTGGCAGAATCGTGGTGACACAGCGACATTGTCGCAGAACATTCCTGAGTTCTTGTAGAAAGATTTTTCCTTTGGGAAGTAAAAAAAAACTTTGGTTTCCTTTTTTTCTGAAATTTTCAAAAGAATTTTCTTGTCTCCTCAGAATTATAGTCAAACAATGCCTTCCTTGCGCATTGGAGTGAAAAAAGAAATATTAGTGATTTTCTGTTCTCATTTGAGAATAATGAAAGAGTAATGAAGTAAAAATCTTTGATTTTTTTTCTGCAGAAATTTTCGTCCTTTTTTTTATGCAATTATTACTACTGATTTCAACGTAGTTTAAAAAAAAAAATTTTTATTCTGTATTATTTGTTACAGCAACTGAATCTAAAAAATGAATTTAGTAACCCCTTTTTGAAGAGTCTGATATGCGTGATTTTGAGGTCGATCTTTTGTAACAGTAGTTAATGCTGCGGATGTCATGATTTTTTTTAATGGGATGAGGATTTGCAAAAGCCGAGAAAAATAAATAATTAGTGTCTTCCCCCCCCCTACAAAATGCAAGACTATCTACATAGTATTAGAATAATATAAAATATTACGTATTCAATTAAAAAAAGTTTTTTTCTTTCTTTGAAATTGACGCTTCTGTTTTTTAAATTCAGTAACATGTTATTTTTAAAAGTATTTTGCAGAAAGATATTAGTATTAGAGGGGCATGTCGCAGAAAGCCCAAAACAATTCTGCCACAGGGTAATTGGGAAATGTAAAGTAAGAGTTTTCTTTTAAAAAAAAATTAGTTTAGATGTTAATCACTTGCGTGGAAAAATTATTTGATAAAGCTGATTTATGTTTTCAGTATCGGACTTTTAATTCTTCTAATTTTGAACACGAATTCAAACTAAGTTAACTAGCCTACTGTTACCCTTATCGTTAAATAATTACAACATCTATTACAATTCAATTATTTCATAAAATTCCACTTTTTAGCGAAACTTTTCCATGTTTCCATTCTTCTCATTCTATTATTTGTCATACCTGCCAAGTCTCCCGTTTATTAACAAAGACTCCTATATATTTTACGACTATCTCCTGTTTACTTGTATATTCTCAATTTTCTCCGGATTTGTTGAAAAAAATTTTGGTGATAAAATATCTACTGAGGAAAAAGATGCTTCTCTTATTCCTCAATAGATGGTACTATTGCCAGTTCTACATCATGTTGAATGTTTACAGTTTAAGTAATTATAAATAATGGATTTAAAAATCTTCTTTAGATGAATATTTATATACATTTTTTTTACTTCCTAAATGTAATTATTATATATTATTTCCAATTTTGACTTTCATAATTATGCATGATGTATCAAAACTTTACTCGTAGCCCAAAAAAATTTTCATAGCAAATTCTTCGTTTTATTATTTTTTCAATGTTGGCGGGTATGATATGTTTTTGCTCAGAAAATGTTATATTTGATCAAACAAATAAAGTAAAAACATTTTCTTATGAAAAATTGCATAGTATACAGTCTATAGACAAAACTATACTATAGACTGTCTATACTATGGACAAAATACAGTATGGATTACCTGATATATCTTGAAAAGTCATGGAATTTTTTTCTTAAAATTGAGTGAGAATCCTGTTTATTTTTTAAAGAAGCATTAAAATAGCAATGTCATTCAAGTTATTTCTAATTTGCATAAATTGTTTGCTAAATACTTTTTAAAGTTTTTCCTTCCCTTTTCTTAAAGTCAAAGAAATTATTTAAAAGATTTTAAGAGAGAGAGATACATACCTGCCAAACCTCCTGCTTTTTAACGAATACTCCTGTATTTTACGACTATCTCCTGTTTACCCGTACATTATCAGATTTCTACGTATTTGTTGAAGAAATTTTTTATAAAAATTTTGGGGATAAAATATTCACTGATGGCAAAAACACTTCTCTTATGCCTCAACAGATGTTGCCAGTACTGCAGTATGTTGAGTGTTAATAGTTTAAGTCTAGCCGTGATGGCTCAGGGGATAGACCTTCCAATGAGGGTTCGAATCTCAGCGATGACTGGTCGACACAATTCTGCTCCCGGCTCTAGAGTGCTGAGGTTAAAAATATCATCAGTGGTAGATAGATCATGAGTCCCCTTTCCGTGAGGCTAACCATGGAATGTCTCCATGTAATGCAAAGACGGGTTAGTTCCCTTGTCTTCTGGATTGGGTTCAAAATTACAAGACTACGGAGTCGAATATTCATAGTCGTAAACCTGAAATTGGGTCGACTCTTCAACGACGGTTATAAAATAAAATAGTTTAACTAACTATAAATAATAATTTTTTTAAAAAAATTTTTAGATTAAAATTTATATACATATTTTTTACTTCGCTAAGTGTGAGTGCTTATATTAATTCCAATTTTGAATTTCCCTTTTTTCCTTACGTTATTATGCATGATGTATCAAAACTTTACTTGTAACCTAAGAAATTTCGCTAGTGAAATCTTCCTTATTTTATTTCTTCAGTGTTGGCAGGTTTAATCATTATTTTTTTAATTCATAGCTCATTTCTTCATTTCAATTATATGTAATTTAAAAAAATTTTATTAAAATTTATTAGACGTCAAAAGCATCAGTAATAGTATAACAATGTTTACAGTTCCCCTAATAAATCAAATAAATGCCTTTTACCTATTAACTTTGCTTTTTACTACATAGAAATTGTTTTAATTACATACGTAGCAGTTTTGTAGTTCGTAGCAAACTTTACTATATACCAAACTTTTTTATTGATTTTAATTACATAGGTTTATAGAAACATTTTTTAAAGCATATATCTATAAAAAATTTAACGCAGTTTCAGATAATACAAATTTAGTGACTCACTGTCTATGCTACCGTCTTCACATTAATCAATGAGCATATCTGACATAAGAAACAAAAAATAATTAAATATTAAAAAACGTGTAATAAGCTCCTTTTTCAATTACTCTGAGCTATAACCTAGCAAACATCACTAATGTTATTTTAAAATATGTGAAAGAGAAAAAATAGTTATCTGCAATTTCGTACTTATTAATAATTAGTAAAGTTGTAAACCAATGAAAAAAAATTTTTTTTCAAACATTTCTCTTTAACGAAATAATTGAAATTTTCAAATGACTTTAGAAGCTGTAACTGGACCTTTTCCCTACTGTCCAAGTGTCAGGACACTAGAAATACTGAACCAAGTTACAAATTTTATTAAAAATTTAATAAGGGACATTCACTAATTTACATTTGTAATCTAAATCTATTAAGATGTTCTTAGTTTGCTTGATTCCTTACATATCTTTATAAATTCAGTATGATCGATAATA